TAATTGGTTAGTTATTTCCTTTTATTTATATCAAAATTTCAAATTTAATAATTGTTATGGATTAGAAATTAATTTGTTTTAGGAACATTAATTTACCTACAAATATTTTATATAACTATTTTTTCTTATAAATAATGTACCTATATTTACGTATATTTGCTTATAATGGACCATATTCAATAATGAACCTATTTTTTTATATATATAAATAATATACCTATATTTTTGTATATTAAATAATGTACCTATCTACTTATATTGGAAAATTATAATGTACCTAGATATGTTAGATATATTAAGTATACAAAAATTGTTACACAACTATCAAAGAGACCAATATATATTTATGCTAACAAACTCCCCATTAGAAAAAAGAGAAATAGTCAACCCTAATTAATGCACGGGTTCAAATTGTGACTCTAGAGGAAATTGATGGATTAAAAAAAATAGAAACCACATTGAATGCCTAGTTAAAAACATTATTGAAATCCCAACTTTAAGGGATTTTTTTAAGAAGAAAAATATTCAGCAACAAAGAGGGGTTGATGGCTTGATTTGTAAATATGTCATAATTTATGAACACTTTGGCATCCAATTCAAAATTGGGTTTTATTTAAATGTAATAAAATAGATGTGTTATTGTCTAGAGTATTTTAGTTGTATGGGTCTATTTTGGTTAGACCCATTTTATTATTCCACTTTCTACCATCTAATATTCTCTTCAACTTACTTTCATTTACAGAAACCCTTATTTCAAAAAACGACTGCATTCTTTCCTTCGAAGTCATTAAAAAGGGATGTTTTTCTAGTTTCTCGATGAATGTACAGTACCTGAAAATAAAAACTAATGTTTGTAAGCCAAATAACATATTATACTTTTTTCATTCAGTTCAATTAGTAACAAAAAAAAAAAGTTGTAGCACCACTAAACTTACTCATAATTTTCATTGTGGTCAAAGAAATCAAAGAAATAATCACGCTCAACCCAAGGAACTCCAAGTAACAGTATTCTTTCCTTTAGCATAATCCTCAGTGCTTTTAAGTCTTTGATTCTCAACATCCTTACTTTTGTAGGATGTATAGTATCTCCGAGGTCTTCAAAACTGCTTTCGACGTTAATAATCTTGATTTGATTGGAAATAACAACATAATTACATGTTTTGTTCAAACCCATATGAAAAAAATCACAGAAATGTATATGTTTTATTGTTCGTAAAAGGTTCCTGCACAATGGATTAAAAACATTATTAGCACTAATTATTATACAATAAGTATTTAAGGCAAAAAGAAAAAAGGATATGAATATATATTATACCGAATTGCATCGCACCACCAAGGAGATAGAATATGAGAAATCTCAGTTCTCATTGGCATTACAAAATCCTCATCCATCATTTCACCTAGAAGTTGATCGAATTGAGGATAGCACAAAATCCAAATATCTTGTGGTTGATAATAGCTCACAAAGTAAGGTTTCAAGAACCCCTTATGATAAGTTAAATTGGAAGTTCGGGTAAATATCTTCCTAGCTAACTCTTCCTGCGATTTTTCGAACTTAAAAAATCGAGCCTCCCTTTCTTTGCCATCTTTAAAGTATATTTTTCCAGCAAAGTAAATTTGAGATGGGTCATAATTTAACTCATATCCAATGATATTCATACGTACTTTCACCTCCTATATATTCTCTGCATAAAAAATAACCACAACATCATATTTTTACTATTATACAAGCATCATGTGAGCATAATCGATGCAAATAAAATAAAAATGAAAAGGCAGTCAAAACTTACCACATCCTTGTCGAGGTTGAGTTGATGTCCCTTTTGTACTTCATTAATTGAAGCTTGTTGCTTTCCCATTCCAAATAAACTTTTTCCCCAGCACAAAATATAACTTATGCATGCATATTATATGCCAATCCGAGATTCCCAAATCTGATGCCAATCCCCGACACATATATACCGCAAAATTAATAGATGAGAATTGTTTCTATATGCTTCACGAAAATAAATTGCAAAATTTTAATAGAAATCTAAACAGTTTTTTTCATGGATCTATGTAATCCAAACCGTTCATAATAAAACATGTGATACACCAGCTTGACCCAAATAAATCAAATGGACTTGAGAACATTGGATGGGACTTCAATCGCATTAATATACATATATAGGGACACACTTACTGGAGCTGTCCAAAAAGATATATACGATGGATCTGTACCCAATACTCCTCCAATATGAAAGCACACTCTCTCTAAACTCTCTTGGTTTGATCTACTTAATGGCTCTGCAGTGCCAAGGATTCTGTCCTTTGTTTATAGGGAATCTAGACTTCAATTTATCAAGAACCCTAATTCTAATTGACGGGAAAAAAAAAATTGAAAACTGGAAACAAAGTTTCCTAATCGAATATCCTAAAACTTCCCTGATTAAAAAGATACAACCATATCAGGAAAATTTATTTATGTCCTACTTAAAGATAAAATAAGAAATTAAATCCAAATCTAGCCAAAAAGAAACTTTTCTTCAAATTAGCTCAAGCAACATGAAAATCACAAAATTATACACGTTATGTTGTATCTGGATTAACTCTATGTGGTTACTATGCTTCTATATTTGTATTACCCCTTTGTGGACATTTGTATTTGCCCTTGTGGCTGATGGTCTTTGTGCCTAATTTATGAATACAATTATCGCTTTCTCTCAAATGTTATGCTTGACTTTTAAGCGGGTTTTTCATCTTAGTCAAAATTTTCCTCATTTTGAATCATTTATTTTTAATATTGAGATTAATTTGGTATATTTTTGAAAATCCTTACTAGTCACGCATAATTGAGTGTTAAGAGAAAATTCTACCACAAAATATACCCCAAAAAATAAGAGGTCTCTTTATCTACCAAAAAAGAAAGAACTAAGATGTCCCTCTACAAATGAAGGCTAAACCTGAAATTGTATTTGTTGCTTGTACTACACCGATGTGAGAAACAACTCACTTAAAAGGCTAAACTATTCCATATAAAAAAAATTCCGACTCCTAGAATCTCTTCTGTTACTTGTTCTTGGATTGGAACTTTTGCAAGTTCGTGAATGCCCTTCAACTCTTTTTTCTGTTACTGGTCGCTATATATGGTTCTCCTAAATCTGCAACAAAATGAATATTATTAACACAATTAGTTAAAAGGAAGACAATTGTCTTAATGCAGGTTGCATCACATACTTTCAGTTTCTTCGTTTTTGCAGACTTCTCAACTCTAAAAAGCTTCGTGAGATGATTAATGGGCAAACGGGTACCATATTTAAGTAGTTTTGCGAGGCCAGCTTCGAGCAGGGGTATTGCCACATGGGTATTTGACTCCAATAAACTTCCCACGAAATATCCATCTTCATCGATAGTCTCCAATAAAATCTTGAATTATTTTGGTTGCTTGGGGCGCCGTTTTATTTTTACTTTCCGTCTTTGCTTAGAATACAAGTGAAACGACTTTTAGGAAACACGAGAAAATGAACAAAATATGAAAACGACACCTTCCACAGCTTCCCATTCTCATTGATTTGAGTTTGACAAAGGAAAAGATAAGCAAGTGCGCATAATATTGTTCAGTTCGTATCAGAAAGCATATAAAAGAAAAATGTATCTGGCTTTGCTCCTGCTAACTGCCAAAGTGTCACAAATGGAAAGTTATGACACGTGGCTTGCTTGCAGTATTTGGTGTTCATGATACGACACGTAATATTGTTGCTCAATATTTAGAAACACTTATATTTAGTCTCCTACCCACATAAGAAAAAACCAAAAAACAGCTACACAAGCTCGAGTGTGTATAAGTAAAAACCATCTCAATTTGTTTCAGTGATGGGTTTTGGTATTGGCTTAGCCCACTTGTCTCTGTGTATTTTTACTTATTTCTTTTAGTTTTTCGATTTACATGTCTTTATTTTTCCTTATTTGCTTTTGTGTAGAAAGTGCCTAGGATTCCTCTCTTTTTCTTGTTCTTTTGTTTTTTTCCGTGTGTTCGGTTTGTGTTGCGAATCAGTTTTAAAATTACGTTATTGTTTATGCCTTTCACATTTGAGTTTCGGATAATATCTTTGCTCTTTTTCGTACTCTTTGAGTTTCGGATAATATCTTTGCTCTTTTTCGTACTCTTTTAGAATGCTTTTATTTTATAGAGCATCTTCTCAAAAAGAAAAAAAATGAAAGAAAAAAAAAACTTATTTAGGGTTATATCAAATTTTCTATTGTCTCCTTTATATGTTATAGATATAATGAGGGGGAAGGCATGGGCCTCACTTCGCCCGTGTTTATGAATGGGAAGAATTTCAATAATAATGTGTTAATGAACGCATAATAAATTAAAATCTAGAGATGTAATTAATTTATTATTAAAATAAATTTGAGTGGGTGGATCCATTTTCGTTGGGTGCATATACAATCATCCACCAAGGTATCTTTTGATGTTAATAGTTATCCAATCATGATTTGTCAATTGAAAAAGACAACCAATTAACGCTAAAGGTTAGTGCCCAAGAAAAAAGGACCAAACAATCCAACCCACGTGTCTGATATAACTTGTCCCAACCGGCAAAGCAAACCAAAAGAAGAGGAAGTTCGTTACGTCACCGTACATGCGGGAACAAACGTGGCACAATCCAGTTGGAAAGTTGAAGCTGACTGAACCTTTGGGAAACCATGACATGACGAGGATATCCAGACAGTGAAATTTCATAATTTCATATGTATAATGGTGTGTATATATTTTTTATACATTTCCACAGATGATCAGGGCATGGATCAGATTAGACACATGACTCGTTCCTGAATCATACAAAACAAAAACGAAAACAAAAAAAAATTTAAATAAATAAATAAAAGCACCAATTTCCCATATCATCAAAACTGTTTTCTTGTGATCACTTGTCGCTTTAGCAAACTAGCAATTAATTCACCCTCCTTCTCTTTTCTTTCTGGTTTAACAGTCTCTTTCTCATCAATAATTACTCTCTTTTCTCAGTCAGACTCTGATACCAAATACACAGATAAACAGAGAAAAAAACCAACAAAACCAAGTTGCATGATTTTCTTCTGCAGGGTAATTGAAAGAGTTTTGGCTTTTTGAATTGCTGAAAGAGTTTTGGTGGTGGTGATGTGTGGATCGTTGATCTTGGTTTTGGGTTTTTGTTTTGATCGATCTTGATTCTTGCTAGAAAGTGATCAATTTAAGGCAGAGATAGATCACAAAGCTTCAGAAAAAGAAAAATGCTTGGAAATGGGGTGGTGGGGATTTTTTCAGAGTCAGTGAACAAGTGGGAGAGAAGAGCACCTTTGACTCCATCTCACTGTGCTAGGCTGCTCCACAGTGGCAGAGACAAAACTGGGGTTTCCCGCATCATAGTGCAGCCCTCCACAAAGCGCATCCATCATGATGCAATGTATGAGGATGTTGGGTGTGAAATCTCTGAGGATTTATCCCAATGCGGCCTCATCCTCGGCATCAAACAGCCCAAGGTACTATTTTTTTCACTCTTTTTTCTCTGCTTTGCTTTCAACATAATATAGCATCAAGTTTGTCAATGGATCACCAATTTATTGACACGATTGTTTGGCTTTGGACTTGTGGTGCAGCTGGAGATGATTCTTCCTGATAGAGCCTATGCATTTTTCTCTCATACTCACAAGGCTCAGAAGGAAAACATGCCACTCTTGGACAAGGTCTTGTCTTGTTTGCATTTGCATATATTAAGAGCAGGGCAGTGATTTATAATACTATGTTTTGCTTCATTACCTGTTTATCACTGTTTCTGTGGTGTGCAGATCCTAGCTGAAAGGGTGTCCCTTTATGATTACGAGCTTATTGTGGGTGATCACGGGAAAAGACTACTTGCATTTGGAAAGTATGCTGGTAGAGCTGGATTTATCGACTTCCTTCGCGGGTTAGGACAGAGTATGTTCTGTTTCCTACAATGTCGATTTTCGACTACTTACTGGATTCATATGCTCTGGCTGAATTTGTTGTTCAGGGAAAAGTTTTTGCAGCTTTAGTTTACTTTTCAGTGCATGCAACTTTAGAGCTTGGGATAGTCCATGAGCTGGACTTTCCTATGTGGTTTCTTTAACTGTATTGATGTTTGAGAGTTGGTACTTTGGATGTGAGGTATTGCATTCATTTTTCAAACCTTCTTTCTGTTTTTCTCATTCTTTCTTTTCTTTTTCAAGGGTACTTAAGTCTTGGATATTCAACACCGTTCCTCTCGTTGGGTGCATCTTATATGTATACGTCCTTGGCTGCTGCTAAGGCTGCAGTGATTTCCGTGGGTGAAGAGATAGCAACTCTGGGACTACCATCAGGAATCTGCCCTCTGGTCTTTGTCTTCACCGGTTCAGGAAACGGTACATTGCATATAAATCTCCTCATAAACATTAACAATATTGTCAACATTCTGTTACTAGGCAACTTTCTGCAAATGCAACTCAAGAACTAAAATTTTGACATTGCATAGGTGAATTGCAGAGTTCTTGTGTCTCACTTATTTACATTTTTAATTTGATATTGTTTTCAAGTTCTTATGCAGAGCACCATTTTTAGTATAAGTCAGTTCACATGATGCAGGATTTTACTAATTCTTATGAAACAAAAAATCTGGTATCATAATAGCTCTGATGTAACTATCTTTCCTGTAGTTTCTTCTGGGGCGCAAGAGATATTTAAGCTCCTTCCTCATACTTTTGTGGATCCTAGCAGACTTCCAGAATTTAGCAAATGCAACAATTCTAGGATAATTTAAAGCCATAAATTACACTTCTCATAATTTAATAAAGCATTCCATTTTATTTTTGTGAAGGCTTCCCAACATTTTGGAGACATATTGTCCCAATTTGTTGGTAATTTGGCTTCTACAAGAGACATCACAAAGATACCTGCACACTTGACGAGAGCTTGCATAACCCATGGAGGAGTACTAACCAGGTTCTCAGTGACTCAGACTTGAGAGGGATAAAATTTTAGGTGCTAACACCCCTGCACAGACATATGGCATGCCTTCTTGGTATTAGCTTTCTAAGTTTTCTTTTTTATTAGGCCAAGGATGCTGCTCAACCTACAAGATCATCGAAAAGGGTCTTCCACGTATATGGTTGTGTTGTGACTAGTAAAGACATGGTTCAACACAAAGATTCCACAAGAGCATTTGACAAAGTAAATTCCCTCATATTCATATCTTATTTTGCATTTGTTTCATTTTATTAATAGATCTTCGATTTACTTTTTCTTAGATCCTCCGGATCCTGAACACTAATAACAGAAAACACTTTAAATTTTGGTTTTTCGGCTGGCAGTGAATTGCATGTATTGGGAGAAAAGATTTCCTCGCTTATTGAGTACCAAGCAGTTTCAAGATTTAATGAGGAAAGGATGTAAGCTTATTGGAATCTCTGATATAACTTGTGATATAGGGGGATCTATAGAATTTGTCAACCAAACCACGTCCATTGACTCACCCTTCTTCAGGTATAAGTTATAACATCGATAGATTCATGCATGAATACAACCTTGAAATGTATGCACTTGCTCTAGACATAGAATTTTCAGCTCTGATAATAACAGTTCTCTTGGTATTTATTTCTGCCGTATCAAGCTTTTGATTCATGTGGGATATATATTTACCTCAATCTGTTTCATATATTTATTTCTAATATGTTCAATCATGGTTTACAGATATGATCCTGTGAATGATTCTTACCATCACGACATGGATGGGGCTGGCTTGATATGTCAAGCTGTGGATATTCTTCCAGCAGAATTTGCAAAAGAGGTGACGTACTTTCATTGATGGGATGGGACTGGCTTTTTCTTTAGCAAATGCAACAACTCTAGGATAATTTAAAGCCATAAATTACACTTCTCATAATTTAATAAAGCATTCCATTTTATTTTTGTGAAGGCTTCTCAACATTTTGGAGACATATTGTCCCAATTTGTTGGTAATTTGGCTTCTACAAGAGACATCACAAAGATACCTGCACACTTGACAAGAGCTTGCATAACCCATGGAGGAGTACTTACCTCATTGTATGAATACATTACACGTATGAGAAAATCTGGCTCAGAGTAAGTTTCAATTCCATCTCAGGCAAGGGCATATTCTTGCCTTTCGCTCCTTTTTTCTTAATAATCGGGTGCAGTAAGTTATTCATAACTAGTAATTTTCTGCTGCTTGGAAGAACTGAATTTTGTCTTTTTCATATTTCTTTTTTGTCAAAAAAGAAAAAGGTTCAGTCTCAAACCACAGCAAACTGATTACTTGGTCAGAACTCTGTACATGCATTCTTAAGTTGTGTAAAAAGAATTTTGAATTGATCTTGGAGATAATTGCCCTATGAGGCTATGCTTTTCTTTAGTATTACCATAAGCATATATTATCTTTTCTGATTTGCAGAGAAATATTAAAAAGTCCTTCTAAGCACCAATCTAACATGAAGTATAACATATCAGTAAGTGTCTCTATTTCTCTTACATCTTTGGATGTTGCTCCTCTTCTCATGCCAAAGATTATATGAATCATCCTAATTATCCTAAACTTGTGTTAGACTATCTCCTAATCAACATTGCTGAATGTAATCATAAATGACAGGTATCTCTCAGTGGTCACCTATTTGATCAATTTCTGATAAATGAGGCCTTAGATATTATTGAAGCTGCAGGTGGCTCCTTTCATTTGGTTAAGTGTGACGTGGGTCAATGTTCTGATTCTATGTCATTCTCAGAGCTTGAAGTAAGCACATCTCTAGTCAAGTTTGATTATGAGAGAGGTTTTCTTCAGTTTTTTTTTTTTCCTTACAGTATATATTGTCTTTAAATTCAATTTCACGCTATAAAAGCAGTGTGCAAAATGTGATGGATGTTTATAACCACTGTGTGTAAATTTTTTTTGTAAGAAATGGCTTATATCCCTTGAGTGTACTTGTTCTGCTATGATTTTCGTCTGATGAAAGTCGAAACTATAATTTTCTTGATATGAACAGGTGGGTGCAGATGATAGGGCAGTTCTGGATCAAATTATCGACTCTTTAACTTCTCTTGCTAATCCAAACGAAAATTATGATTTAAAGCAAGAAAAAAATAAGATTTCTCTGAGGATTGGTAAAGTCCAGGAGAGTCCTATGAAGGAAAATGGCACGAAAAGAAAGGTTGGGGTTCTTATAATTGGCGCAGGCCGGGTATGCCAACCAGCTGCTGAGATGTTAGCATCAATTAGCGAAATGTCATCCCAGAAATGGTGTAAAGCATGCCTGGAAGATGATTTTGAAGAGAAGAATGATGTGCAAGTTACTGTTGCATCTCTCTATCTAAAGGATGCTGAAGAGGTATAACTGACCAAAATTATTTCTCTATTGCAAAAAACCTGCTTTAAATCCTACGATGGTCATCTTAATTTCAACTCTTTTCATCAGGATGTACATTTTTCTTTTCCAAGCATGATGTGCAAATTTTTGTATGTATCTTTATGTTTGTCTTGTCCTTTTGCATTTGAATATTTTGATACTGAAAGATTGGGTGCAGATTACTGAAGGTATTCCAAATACAAGAGCAGTTCAACTTGATGTGACAGATACCGGCAGTCTTCATAAGTATATATCAGAGGTAAAATGACTTTTCTGCAGTACACTGTGATACACTGTAAAACTGGTACGCAGCAAGGTGCACCGCAAAGTGCTGCATTAATGCTTTGAAGAGCAGTTTTTGTTAACTTCTAATATATACTCATGACAATTAGCTGCTCCTTTCTCCTTGTGTTCAAGATTAGCCTTCAATTACAGCCTTACATTGTTGCTTTCTTTTATTCCCTCTTGCAGGCTGAACTTGTTATAAGTTTACTGCCAGCTTTTTGCCACATTACTGTAGCAAATGCATGTATTGAGGTACTTTACATTGTCTCAACGTTATATTTACTTATATATATTTCTTTCTTTCCTTTATTTTTTGGTCTTGCCTTTCTTCCTACAGTTTGAGCTAAGAAAAAAGTTTCTGTCTTCATGCAGCTTAAAAGGCATCTTGTCACCGCTAGCTATGTTGATGATTCAATGTCAAAGCTAGATGAAAAGGCAAAGAGTGCCGGTATTACGATTCTTGGTGAGATGGGCTTGGACCCTGGGATAGGTAATCATTTTGCTGACAATACGAAAGATAAGCAGACAGTAACCAGTCTCTCTGAACAGCCTGCATGTCCAATAGAAATGGAGTGTTTTTTTAACTCTACTGGATGTGATATATTACATTAGATACTTTACATCAGGTTTATTGTTTTCTTACCATTTTTTAGATAAAGCATTTATTAGTTTGATTTTGTCCTACTTCAGATCATATGATGGCAATGAAGATGATCAACCAAGCGCATGTCCGTAAGGGGAAAGTCCGGTCTTTCACCTCGTATTGTGGTGGACTCCCATCCCCAGCTGCAGCAAACAATCCATTAGCGTACAAATTCAGGTAATTAGGATTGGACAAGTATTTATGCGACTGATATTTTATCCTTACTAAGTAATAACCCTAGGTTCTAGTTTTAGTTGGAGTTACTTACTACTGATCAATCATTTCAGTTGGAGTCCTGCAGGAGCTATTCGAGCCGGGCGCAATCCTGCCACGTACAAGTCTAGGGGTGAAATTGTACAAGTTGATGGTAAGTTGTTAATGATGAGGGAAAAAATGATTAGTCCAAGGATTCAATGAGATGTGTGCGATTTGTCCTTTCTTTGCTCAAAGAGTTAGCCAGCCTCACATAATTCTGATATATTTTAGCCAGTAATATATTACAAGGTTGCATTGCTTTTTCTGGAGGTCTTTTTTTACTCTTTCACTTTACGTTACAAAACTGCAGGAACGAATCTCTATGATTCAGCTATGAAACAACGGATTCCCAACCTACCAGCTTTCGCGCTGGAATGCCTCCCAAATCGTAACTCACTAGTTTATGGGGAATTGTATGGAATAGGACATGAAGCTTCAACCGTCTTTCGTGGAACCTTGCGCTATGAAGGTATGGCATGTTCGTCTTTTAGGCTAAGCTAATGTTTAGAGTCACACTAGAAAACTTGATGGATTTGAGAGTCGTCAAGTAAGATTTGTTATATAGGGTAACATGGGTCTTGGTAGGGAGAACAAAAACTGAAGACAGGGATGCATCAGGTGGTTAGTTCAGGGTGTTACATGACGTTCATGGAACTTACGAACAATTATTTTGCATAGGGTTTGGAGAAATAATGGGGACACTCTCAAGAATTGGTTTATTCGAATCCGATCCTCATCCACTTCTCAAGGATGAAAAGAGACCCACATTCAGGAAATTTTTGTCTGAACTTCTCAAAATCGAAAGTGAAGATCTGGATGGACCTTTGATAGGAGAGAAAGTCATCCCTGAAAGGATTATCAAGCTTGGATACTGCAAAGATCAAGGAAGTGCATTGAGGGCAGCCAAGACTATAACGTATGCACGTTGCATCTGTTACCCCTTTTTCTTTCCGTTCTTATTGTGTGCTGAGAATTTATAGACTAAGACTGAAATGGCTGGAATTTTTCTCCGTTTTCGAATAGATTTTTGGGACTTAATGATCAGAAAGAAATCCCTGCCTCCTGCCGAAGTGCATTTGATGTGAGTTGTCTCCTCATGGAAGACAGATTAGCATACTCCAGCACGGAACAGGTAAACTCCTTAGCGGCAAATAAAACAGGATTGGCACGGCCAAGTCATTTTATACCAAAGACGGCTTTTATATTCCTATGCATATTGCCAAACTTATGTGTTATTGGAACTTGTGTGATTTGTGGTCAGGATATGGTGCTTTTGCATCATGAAGTAGAGGTTGAGTTCCCAGATGGACTTAGAGAGAAGCATTCAGGCACTTTACTGGAATTTGGGCAGACTAAGAATGGTAAAATGATCACCGCCATGGCTTTCACGGTTGGCATCCCGGCAGCCATTGGAGCTCTGGTACTTACTATATACGTTTCTGTTCTTCTACACCATGAAGTGAGGTAATGCCTAAACAAGTTTACTTCTTTTGCAGCTCATACTTGGAAACAAGGTCAAAACAAGAGGGATCTTGAGGCCTATTGAACCAGAAGTATATGTCCCAGGTAACCACTTGCTCTTGTTTTCGTTTGGTTTGGTGTTCTATAATAAAGCTCTTATTATAGACATTTATATCAGACTTCTAGGTCTCTCTTTCGTTATTTAGCCTTATTAGACATGAAATTTCATTGGCTGCAACAGTTTAACTGGAGTTGTTTGTGGTACTGCAGCCATGGATATAATACAAGCTTATGGCATCAAGGTAATGGAGAAGATCGAGTGACCTGAACAATCCCCCTATCTCTTTCCTGTGTAGATGCAGCTATTCACCAGATATTTGATGCGCAACTAGTGCCTCGTTTCACTTGACTGCAAGCATAGATACTTGAAAGGGAGAGTTTGATGCAATTATGTGGCAGGGCTCCAATGACGGGTTTGCAATGCCTTCCTAAGTTTTGTGGAAAAGGCGCTTGCAACTTAGAGGAGCTCCCTATTCCTACATTAATGTCAGCAAAATAACTTTGTGAACAATGGATTTGAACAATGGTTCTTCATATTCTTTGTGACTTTTCGGGTCAGGGATGGAAAAAGGGTTCGCATGAGCTTGAATAGTGAAGTGTAACCAACATATTGCAAGAATTGTTTTTCTAGCATAATGATGTACACCTTTGTGCATCTAATTCAAAAGAAGCCAATTCATGAGTTCAATACTCAATATGAACATGCATTTTCATGGTCTGTCAAATATAGAACATCAAGGTTAGAACAAAATTTGACATCTCAATATTCTACTAGCAACAGCAGCAGCAGCAACGGCAAATACAAAACAAAACAAACAACTGGCATCCTAGTTTTGAAAAGCTTCCGTTGTTTGAAAACAAGATCAAAAATTCAATATTCAATGTTTGAAAATTTTGGATTATTTGAGCATTTCGTCATCATCCGTATTTACAACTTGCAAGTTTTCCTTCTACCTTATTCTCTTCTAAATGAAAAATAAGGAGAAAAGGAAAAGAAACCAAGCCCTAGCCAGGCCAGTTGACTTTGAGCATTCTGACACCTAGTTTTCAGAAGGGGGGGAAATGATAAGAAGATATGATCACTTCTCATCATTCTCCTACTCACCGAGCAACCCTATTTGGCTGGTCTCTAGAGACTATGGAGTTTCTTCATCAACAATAGTTTCTTTAGCATCCATCTGATGCTCTCCATGCATTAGAATGAATTCAACGTATCTTGACAAATTGGTGGTCAATCTTGTACTAGGTTGTAAGAAAATCTATGAAATAATCCACGTCATTAAGTGCTTCTCCACTGCTTCCCAGTTATGAACCTTGGTGACCAGGGGGTGTTGAATAATTGACTCTGTCTTGCACCATGGATACGAGTTCTCATAATCAAAAAGAAGAACCCTGATCCCAGCCTCAGCACATTCAAGCGCATATCTTGGATTGTCATCAATTAGAACCTTTGCTCCCAAGGACCTGGCAAGTACATTTCATCAGAACATAGAGGAGCTATCATATGTATTGTACGTGATTGGGTCCCATAAGGAGATAGTAGTCCACAAAACCAACAAGCAGGTAAACATGCATGATTAATGGAACAAGATATTTGAACCCCACATTCTTTCGGATTTGCAGGTTCTAAAAGTATAAAGTAAGAACAAGCTTCAAAAGATGCATACCAAGAAGTTTAGAATACATGACACCAAACTATCTACAGTGGTTCACGGTCATACCTGCATATTTCTGACTTAGGCCTAGACTCTCCATCTAAAGCAAAGTGGTTGCCAAAGTGAATCTCCTGAAACAGTCCTGGAAAATGTTTTTCAATCCATTGAATTGTGTGGTCCTTAATTGCATTCTGTCTAGACCTATTAATGCACGTAGATGCCAAAAGATTAAGTTAGTCAAAGCTCTGGTAAACATAATAACAAATTAACTCTGCTAATTGCACATACGTCACAACTGACAGGTCACAAAATCCGGACAACTTATGAATTGTCTCCTGAGCACCTGGGAGTGGGTGGATCCCGGTCTTGAAATATGATGTTTCAAAGAACTCATGCACACGAATATCGGCTGTCAAAACAAAGTAGATATTACCAATCATGGCAATGCTTTAAAGAAAGGAAGAAAGATACGACAGAAAAAGAAGTGCAAGTAAAATGTTTTACATAGAACCCTAAAAACATTTATCAGTTGGAGAGTACATTTCTAATAAATGTTGTCTACATCCAACACATTGCACAAAAAATAAAATATAGATCAAATGTTCACAAAATTAAGATAAATTTATTCTAAGGCTGTCAGTTAGTCAGTTCATATGTCTGATTAAAATGACATTCAATGCAATTAGAAATTTGACCATGAAACCAAATGAATCTGGTGATTCAAATGCAAGTTCCATTTTCAATATCCAATAAACAGTATTAAACTAGGAATTAGGTAGGTTAGTTCCATGTACAATCTGTAATTCATAAAAAGTGCCAACTAGCTGATAAAAGTCCTTTCGTGTCATAAATGATGATCATGATGACAATGATAATGATGATCATGATGACAATGATAATGCTGATGACGATGATGATGATAACATCCCAAATTATCTGAAAATAGTAATAATAAAAAAAGTGAAGCATATGTAGTACCTTCATCACGAGAACAGTTCCATATCTGTAACAGAAAAATATGATGCATCAGAATATGCCCAGGGAATTTTTTATCAAAGAAAAGGGAGCAGAAAATGTTAATATATATCCTTGAAGCTTGCTGCCAAAGAGAATTGGCACCTTAAACCACATACTAAAGAACTCAGATTGCTGGAGTAACAAATCAACTCAACTCAACTCAACTCAACTCAACTCAACTCAATCAATAAGGGTGGGAGATATGCAGGAGGCAAGCAAACATTACTATATCACAGCCCAAGAAAACAGCTGAAATGTAAAACATAAGATCACAATGTAAACTAGCATAGTCAAGCACGAAGAAAAGTAAGTTAGCAACATAGCATGCTCAATCCCGGAAACTAGTCATAGTTCGCTATTATAACAACAATGCTAAAGCATTTGAAATGATGAGTCATATCTACTTGCACTCCGAGATATGGGACACAAGGAAACAACCAACAATCAAATGAAGCTGTCCAGACTCATTGACTCAGTTAGTTAGCAGGCGATACCTTGAAGAACTCATAGACATGGTACTCTGAAACTGAATGGTGGGAGGAGTAACGATCAGCAATAAACCTGTTGAGAGCCGACACAAAGTTTCCCAACACTGCTCATCAAAAACAGAATAAACATAAATCAGCAAAAGACAAGCTCAAGTTTATATCTACTGATAAATCAAGACAAACCCAAGTTGGAAAATAGAGAATAGAACAAAATGATCATAACAGAAAATGGCAATCAATGCATGCATTACATACCCTCATCCACATCAACAGCAACGACGACTTTATCATCGGGCAAAGAATGGGGAGGGATTCCAGTATGGCTTCCACGCTCCTGGCAACCATTAGAGGAGGCCAATCCAATGGCATCAGAGCTGCGGAGGTCCAATTCAAGATCACGGACCAATTGAGCATTGGGATTCTCAAAGGCATTGCTGTGACGCTTTATGCTACTGCTATGAGACTGAAGGTGGTGATGCTGTGATTTGAAGCACCCTTTTACGAAAAAATTGCGGCCAAGGCGTGTGTTCCTCGTATTCCTGATTTTCCCAGGAAAAGTTGCATACTTGCAAGAGTGGTTTGTGGAGAAATGGGATGGCGGCCATTGAGCTCGGCCTTGAAACCCTTTATAGCTACCATGGCTATACAAATGAGCAGCCATAACCTCTGTAAACTGATGACGATGAAGTAAAGTTTGGTGCTTTAAGTTTGTGAAGAAGCGCAAGCCGCCTTGCCTTTTCAAAAACAACATAACGTGCCCAAATGCCCCTCAACCCCACAACCCCACCATTCACAAAATTCGCATAAACCCTAAAAATTGCCAAATTGGGCACCAACCCCCAAACGTTACGCTAAGCTTCTTCTGTCTTCTGCATTGGGATTGCAAAAATCTGAGAACTTCCAGTCAAAACTCCGGACACGTCTGCGAAAAAATACAGGAAGATGGGAAGGTTAATGCAAAGAATATTTACGCATATTCAGAAAGCATAAAAATCTAGTGTTGAACTTTCGATGCTCTTTCTTCTTGTTTGTTCTCAAAACTCTGCGATCCAATCATATAAATTGCAAAAAAAATCTAATAATTATTCGATTTAGTTTAGTAATTTTAGTTTTGAGAATTAATTACTGGTTAATGCGGAAATTCTGCCTTGATTTCCGATTTTCATTTTGTAATTTGATTGTGAGACCTCATAAATCTAAAACCTTTCTAATAAAAAGAGCAAATAGATTCCCTGCCTCCCTTTGCACCCTTTCTTCTTCTTTATTCTTTTTTTTTTTCGTTTTCTTTAATTTTGTGTTCTATTCCTTTACGTATGTGTATATGTCAAGGGGCCCACAACAATAAGATCCAACGGTCTTGATTTTGGCTCCCGCTGATGTCCATCCATGTCTTTTATCTTTTTTTTTTTTTTTTTTGGCCATGTCTTTTATCTTTCATTTCTTTGTTGCTTTTGTGTAGTTCACAATTTATTCTATTATTTTGTGTTTTATTGGCCATTAAAAAAAAGTGTTATATTCCATTATGGGTTGCTTCGGATATGAGAATTGATGCTATTTTGTGTTTAGTCACAATAAGAATAACACTAATTATTTTGTGATTGTCACATTAAGAACATCTTTAATAGAGGAAGACGTAAACCACCTCTTAAAATACAACTATTCATGTTATGGAAAATTTGTTTGAGATTGTTGTATACCTAAATAGTATTGTATGTTAGATTCATGAAATTTGGATTTATTTGAGACTATTGTATCATGAATAGTTGTATTTTGGTTGAAAGAAATTTGTGTTTGAATTTATCTCCAATTTATGTAATTGTCAGTTCAGCCATCATAATTAATAATGTAACTTATCAGCTAAGATGGTTCATATAACAGCATCATTTTAATTTCCATATGAAGGGGATTTATGTGGGCAAGAACAGAAATTAAGGTATAAAAAAAAATGCATTGATTCACTCACAAGTAAGTAACCCTTAAAATATACAAAGAAGTGGTGGAAATTAGATCATCAATGTGGACACTAGAACAAGGACAAGTAACACCATCACAACTTTGTGGGAATTGTGCTCCCTTAATCCGGCAGCCGGTGAAGAACGAGGTCGTCGAGGCTTTTCATGCTTTCCCAGATCAATCATGATCTCGAATCGGCACGAACGATTCTGACCATTTTGAGTTGGAGATGGATCCGTAGTTGTGGTGACTGAGAGATTGGAGAATTCACAAGCACCTTTGCGCTGATCCATGGTTTGATAGTACATGTTGAAAGCATAAGAGGCATTGCTTCTAGCATCAAGCATGCCACAAGATGAGCCATATCCAAGGCTTGTGCAATCTGCATAAGAGCAAGCATAGTTGATGCTCTGAGCCAAATTGGGGTCTGAAGGGCTTGCATCTGGTGCCATTATGCACCATTGCCTGGCCAAATAGTGCACCCCTTTTGCTGGTACCAAGGCTTTTCCACGACCAATATCCAATGAGTATTTGATTGAGCCATCAAAATTGAACACCCCCCAATGCCTCTCAAAATTCCCAGGTTGGGTGCTCTTGGCATCTTCATCTATGAGCCCAAAGATGTAAATGTCAGGTGGGGTTGACCTCTTTGGGCTGCCTTGCCCTGCAAGTATGCGGCTTACAAGGCCTTGATTGAACCGCCGGGCATCTTCTATGTTAGCATTAGGGTCACCATCCGTTGGCCATCCAACCTCCCCAACGATGACCGGCAATGAGGAGAAGCCATTCTTTTCAAGGGCAGCAATGCAGGTGTCAAAGTTGGCATCAAGCACATTGGTGTATGAGATGGAGCCATCAACAACGGGCTTTGAAGTGTTGTTGAAGAAGGCATACTCTTTGGGGAAGTCGGGGTCAGCTTGGAGGCTGAGGAAAGGGTAGATGTTGATGGTGAGGGCACCACCATTGTCACTGAGAAACTTCAAGATGGACATCATGAGGCTGTGGATGTCGGACCGGAAGTTGCCTCCGGATGGAAGGCCGCTGTCAGTCTGGTAAACGTCTGCATTTAGGGGAATTGTCACCTTCACTTGTCTCCCTAGCCCTGCTTTTATCAGGGCTGCTTGGATGTTTTGGAGAGCTGGAAATGTGGTTTGCAGGAAAGTGTCTTTGTAGGTTTTGAGGAACGGTTCATTGGCCACAGCCACATACCTACATAGATTTAAATGTCAAAAAGTAATTCAGTTTAATATTAATTGTTAATCAATCATTACTTTGGAAAATGTTCTTTCTTTTGTAGTTATTCGGCATATGATGTAGGGGAGGGTTTTTTTTTTTTTTTTTTTTTTTTTTTTTTTTTTTTTTTTTTTTTTTTTTTTTTTTTTTTTTTTTTTTTTTTTTTTTTTTTTTTTTTTTGGGGGTCAACTAGTGGTTCCAAAAGAAAGAAAAACATAAAAACAGGGATATTCTTTTGCGTTTCCAAAAGCTTTTGTTTCTGTTTCCTGCCAATTTGAAACTTTTATTACGGGTGATGAGTGCCAACTTGCATGTATATATGTCAACATGCACGGAATGAAAGAAAGAGCATTTAACCTCACACTTACGACAAGAGTTCAAAATTTTAGAAATAAGAACATGAAAACTTCCAAGTCTTTTTACCTTATATCGACGCCATTTTTGGATATGTAATATGACACATTTTTAGACACCCAGTTCTCAGCAACAGTAACACTGCTAGCAAGTGGTGCCAATAACTCATTGGGTATACCCACCATAACCTGGATACCAGTTCCCCCAAGAGCTTGCAATGCCCCAGGATCAGCTTCAAAGAGCTTCACTTTGCTGAATCCATTGTCCTTCAAAAGCTTGACAACTATACTAGGCGGCAATGGATGCGTAGAACGGGTTCCCCAGTTGCATGCCAAGCCACCAACTCCAAGGGCCCCCTTCACCAAACCCTCCCCAACTATGCAGAGCAATAAAACCCACAAGTAGCTAAAACCCATGTTTTCTTATGCCTCTCAACCTCAGTTTTCAGCCATATTTCTACCAGCTCGAAACGTATAAGAAGCACTGCTTTTGAATTTAACAAACCTAAAGGTTGAGAAATGTACTTTTATGAGAGGAAAGGCAAGGAATCACAGAAATGCTCAAGTAGAAACTGGATTCTGAGAGGCTAAGGAAACCCTTTTGAGTGATTCATGACCTTACTTTAATGGAGGGTATAATCCATCAAGAAAAGAATAGAGTGAACTTGTTGTAAACTAGTTTTTTTGTGCCAAGCATTTCCTGGATGGGAAGCGAAAAACCCACATAGAAGGCATGCACTTTACCCAACACGAATGTTTGCCAGACTATAAAGCTCCATGGGACAGAAAGCCACTTTGTGAAAAATAAGATGAATAATCTGATCTTTATTTTCGACAAAAAGAATCATAAGCTTAAAAAAGTTCTCAACATATTCAATGAAATGATTTTGTAACTAATGATATCTGTTTGCTGGCATTGGATCTGATTAATTAATCGTATGCTACTTAGATTACACCACAGCAAAAATTGGAGATAGAAACAATAAAAGGCCGATTCGAAACAATCATGTCCTCTCCTTTCTTTTTCTTTTCCTTTTTTACTACATCAAGATCATTACAACAAAATTTACCGGGTAAAGTGAACTGAAAACTACCTCTATCATAATAAATGAGATTTTCTTTATAGGCACAGGGATAAAAGAATATCAGCAGAAAAAAATCGGTTTTTGGAGCAGTGATTTCGCGAATCATTCCTTACGGGGAATCTTGTCAAGGTGGCAACAGATATATATATATATATATAACTATGGCAGAAGTGCTTTCAGTTGTGCCCTGAAAAGATCACCAAGAGCTCCACGAACATCCATCTGAACGAATCAAGCAATTATAAGTTTTTTTCCAGAATAATCTCTAATTACTAATTAACTGCTGTAAGAGCATGAAATACCAAATTTAGAGGCACCAAGGGATGGATATGGCAGTATCAAATAACAAATCCATATTATTATGGATGTTGACATGGAAAGAGGAGATTTACCTGATCGCAGCAAACAAGTTTTGTAAGCAAAGGATAGAAATTTCTCAGATGCCTTCTGAAAATCTGTTGGTTCATATAGCACATGCCTTTAAGCACCTGAAACACCAAAAGAGTAAGGAAAATATCACCTGTTAATACCTACAATATACAAAACTTGTGGGAAATCAACGAAAATATTGTCCAATAAACAAGCACAACGGATGGAGGAGGATTTATTCAAACACAAAGTTTGGGCTACTAGAATATGGCGCACTTGGGGCTTTCTATTTGATTGAGGAGAGTGGAATTTCGTGTGTAGGGGTGAAATCCGAAGACACTGAGGTGAATCCACCAAACCAATCAAATTAGGGTTTCAAAATTAGATCATGCCCCACAAATAATCCATATGGCACTTTATACCTTGATAATTATGGGAGATCGTAACTCCAGAACACGATGAATATCCATATTAGTCGTCTCCCCAGAGCCGGACTGCAGATCAGATGCCTCCCGGAGTACCTGTTCACAGAAAGATACAAGTTTCTCTTCCGCTAATCCTTCGACTTTCTCTTCATCATTAGAATGTTCTATAATATCAACATTCTGAGAAGCGTTAGTTTCTGCAAGTGCCTCTTTGTTGGCACTAAACCCGGAAGTTGCTTTCTGTAAGATGTCAAGATATATGCAGGTTCCTGCTAATTCTTGGCGGAGAAGATTCAGAGGTGGCCTGTCCAGAAGATAAATTAGTCACAAACTATGTTTTCTTTTATAAGAAAAATCATTTTCTTCCTCAAGGAAGAAAATTCAACACAAAAGAAAAGAATTTACATAAAAAGTTTTCATCCTACCTCTCATCAGGAATTTGGTGCATGCGTGTTCTGAGATTGGTATATGAATTATAAGAAGCTGCGAACTCTAATGCAGACAGCAAAATGTCCATAATAGCAATCTTTTGTGGTGCTTTCAACTTGCTCCAGTATTTCTTCTGCAAATGATAGAGTGATTTTATTAGGCAAACAGTAATCAAAGACTTTTTTACATAACCCAATAAAAATAATATGGAGTAGTTCAGAGGCACTTGGAGAATTAATTTACATCCCCAAGTGCTGCAGCCTTCCAAGTCAAAGGACTTGCCTTATATATTGCAGTAATGGTTTTCATCACAATGGATTGCAAATTAACATTTGATGATCAGAAGAAAAGTATTTATGAATTTAAGGGAACATGTAAAATTAAAAACGATCAAACTTCAAACCTGAATACTATCAATGGCACCAAGAAGCAATAACTGAGTGATGCATTTGCCCCTACAAGTTCCCAATAATGAACTCTCCTCCTCATCTCTGACATCAGGTTCCACAGCCTCAGGAACCTAATGCAGCATAAGAATCAAACGTCATAAAGCCATTATATCTGGATGCTGATCTGTATAATTGGCCTCAGCAGAAATAATATATTCTTTATAAATTAATATCCTACGACATCATACCTTAATTGGAGAAGATGGTACTGAAGCATCAGAAGCAATACCCTTAGGCTTAGAAGAAAGATTTCTGAGAAAGAGATTGTCCATAATTCTTTGACCTATTGTTTGATTCCGTTGGAGGCCTTCAGCAGATTTTGGAGCACCTCCTGACGGTGACGGAAGGCCTACAAGAAGAAAATCTTTTTATATTGCTTTGCTACTAAAAATTTGAGAGGAAAAAATTAAAATTTCTAGCTTATGCACATCAACAACAGTGTAAAAATTAGCTCCATCAATCGTAGTTTTGGGACACTATGGACTTTCAAGGTTCTATTTATAGAGTAAAAAATGGTAGTAATCGTTGTTCTGTGAAGCATTTTTCACATAAATGCAAACTAGCATAAATGAAGTGTCAGTGTTTAAGATTTTGAATGTTAATCATAAACCATTTAATAAATACTAAGTTTCATAGAACTTTAAAAACCTGACCTTCAGATCCATCCAAGTTCATTTGCACCCCTGAGTCTTGTTTGTTGTCCATCAGGACTGAAGCATTTGGATTTCTTCCATTATCACTGACATCAAACTGACGGCTATCCACTCCCTCATAGTCAGACTTTATGGAAGGACTATCACCTGAATTGACCTCTAAATCTCCAATTAACCCCCTATTGTTCTTCAGGTTCTCAAATCCCAAAGCATTTAGCAGTTCAAGTGGTTGTGTTGTGTACAAAGCATCTCTGATGACAATAATAAAATGATTAGTATTAGAACAACCACAAAATATTATCTGATAATAAGAGATAAGCACCTTATACTTTTCAACAATGTATCCCAGTCGTTCTCACTGAATTGATGTCCTCCAACTTCAATGAGATGCACTAGTGCACCCAGAGATAATGAAACCACTGCCTGATCAGTCTTTTTGGCGCAATCCAAAAGTAGACTGAGTAGGGGTGGCAACATAAAACACACCTCCTGCACAAAGGAAAGACTTCCACAGTCACACTAATCTTTGGAACACCAACTTCAAAATGCACAAATCATTTTTCACTACCAGAACCAATATATGAGAATATCAATCTGCATTTGTTTTACTAAATAATAGAATAAACCTCCACATTTTCCTCCCTTATTACGTGTGATTATTCACCAATAACTAGGAAAACTATATAATTTATACAGCTAGTATTTAGCTCAACACTACCTTATAAAAAGTGTTGAAAAGGTTGCAAAGCAACTGAAGTGAGTGAATGCTTGTTTCACGGAACCATTCCTCATCAGGAGAAACCAAGCTTTCCTTTCCAGCATGTCTCACATGATCAAATATGGGAAACAAGACACGATGAAAAATGCTCTCCCAAAATGATGAAGAGAACTTGCTACCTCTCTCATTTAGTAGATCAAACAATACTTCAAGTGCACAGCTTCTGACCTCTGGTCTTGGATCTGATGTCAGATCTGACAGACCAGCAAGCATTGGGAACCAATAATGCTCAGTCACGTCAAAAGTTGTATCCATATTTACGTCAATAGGCCTCAAAGCACCACCAGGTATAAGACCCTGAAATTGACAAACCAGAAGTTAAGCACGGATATCTCAACAGCCAAGTGACAAGTTATCAATACAAGCAAGTTAGAAGACGCCATACAACCATAGACATCAACGCAACCCACAACAACCAAATCAACCTGCAACAAAGAAGCCCAAGACCAGGGTTGCCTAAGCAGCCAGTCATTATAGTATCAAAGAAAAGCTAAGCATCACTTTTTCTTTCTTCCTAACCATTTGAACAAGAGGTTCGGTTTCCAGGCCCTGCATGTGTTCTCATGTCAAACTGAAAATCTCACAACCCAATCATTTCTGTTTATTAACTTCACCTCAACTTTTATGGATCCAATTTACCACCAACATAGTTCAGAAATAATTTACGGTATCTGACAAAGACACTATACTGAAGGACACAAGTGAAAGCAACATGTAATGAATGACAAGGCATCCACAAAGAACAAGGAAAAGTTAATGCCGACAGGACTAACAAACCTCCCCCAGACGATCCTCACATATGCGCAGTAGTGCAATTGCCTTCAAACTTATACGGTGTGAAGTTCTATTATTAGCAAACCTGATAAGACAGTTGACACAGTCCATAAAACAATCTCCCACTACTTGATCGAAGTGTTCCAAGATAACTGCAAATTTCCCCGTATTAGACATACCAAATTGTGAAGAGGAGGAAATCAATATGATATGAAAACATACAGTAAGGGAAAAGAATTTGTCACCTTGTTCAACATTTTCAAAAGCGCTCTCAACTATTGATTCCAATTCATCATCTGCAGCTGCTGTAAAAACCATGAAAACGCTACGCCATCCAGACTTGATGCTCCCTACTTTGGATTTTATCATCTGTAAAAGGCAACAGAATCAATTTTGTTTGTAGCAGGATAGCTGTATATCGAGAAGGTTAAGGAAGATAAAAGGAGCGCATTCGGGAAAGCAAACTATGTAGACATACTTGAACAATG